TGAAAGTGTCATTAATAAGCAATATGTAAGAGTGACTCACATATTTCCAAGAAAACTGAGACTTTCATTACTTGAAGTGATCTAAAAATTTCCCTAAGAATATTAAAATACATATGGCCATGAAGAAAGATTTTTAATCAATGACTTTTTTTATAGAGAAGTTTAGCTAACCTTAGGGAAGGTTGAGATATTTGCAAGACATTAGGGTAAATTTTAGGACTAAATGCAAAATCTCTGGAGAAAGCATGGGAAGAAATAACTTGAGATTTCTCATGGATTTTTGTTATGGTTGGTGATAAATACCATGCAAATACCCTTTGTTGGTGTGTTTTGGCAGTTTTTCCAAGGAGACCAGGGAGTGAAGAGGATTACAAAAAGAACGAAAATGAGATTGATTTTGTACTAGAAAAATGCAGTGGGGAATTCAATAACTTTCTAGCAAGTGTTGTGCCTCATTCCTGTGTCCACTACATAGTATTACAAAATCTTTGTAAAAGCAATACAAACTTCCAAACACAAGCTAAACTTCACTCTGCCCAACAGTTTTGAGAGTAATCAGTTTAATCTCATCATTTGTTCTAGTACTGTAACATGGTGATTTTGGTTTTCAGAGACTGAAACATTATGTAGCTTAAAGTAGAAAAGGAAGTTTCTTGGCTCACAGAATCTAAGTAGGGTTGACAACAGAGTCTTTGGAAGGTGCAGTTCAGCCTCAAGAATAAATAGAACCAGAAATAGATTGTCAGGATATGCCCTCCTGTCTGCTGCCTGCTTTATTCTCTCTCCATTAAGCTTTCTTTTCTAGATGGAAAATATCAGTTCCTTCATTCTGTACCTTACAGCTACCATCACCTGGAGGCATGATGGGAGTGGTGGTGGAGATGCACCGCTACTCTTTTTTGGAACAAAGTCCTAAAGCCATAGGAAAGGATTCATTAAATGTAATTGGCTCCATTGGCCACCCCTGGACTAATCATTGGTTTGGACTGGAGAATACAGGACTAATATTGGCTCACTTCACGTACAGATAATCGACTGTAACTAGGGGAGTGGGAACATGTATAACTCATCAGCTCCCTTGGGTAACAGGGCTTAGCAACAGGGAAATGGTGAGCTGTTCTGAGACAAGAGCTGTTATAGTGCTAGACAGAGAAAGCATGTTATGAGTATCCATGGTAAAGAGAACCCAGAGAAATACTATGTTATATTCATGGTGGTTATATCTCACTGATGGAAAGTTCAACTCTAAATCACTCAACTGATTCTAGAAGTACAAGATATATAACCAATAGCATATCTGTACCACAAGATGAAAAAATCTAATAAAGTAAATAGATGTATAATTGAGGGCATCGTCTTCCTGAAACTCTTTTTGAGCCCTTTCCAACTCCTGCAAGTTTTTATGATCACCATCACACAATGTATCACATTGTTCTACAAGTCTCTGAATTGACAGTGACTCAAGAGCCTAAATCCCTAGCTCAACTGTAGATATCATATTTTTGTATGTATGTATGTATGTATCTATGTACTGGGGATTGAAAGCAGGGACTTCTCACTGAGCTACACCCCTAGCCCAGTTTTTCCTTTGTTGAGGCAAAATCTTTTGAAGTTGCTGCTATATTGCCTAGGCTGGGCTCAAAATTACTATCCTCCTGCCTCAGCCTCCCAGAATGGTAGAATTACAGGCATGTGCCACCGCAGCCAGCTATTGCTGTTTTATATTATACTTTCTTTTACTAAAAGATTTTTACACCAAGTTCACTGCTGAAGATATAATTTGTTCCACATTTATTCCATAAATGATTTTTTGAAAGCTTACTGATTTCTAAGCTATACACTTAGCACTCAGGATACTAAGATGATCAGAGAGGATCCTTTAAAAAAGCACGTGGTTTGATGTCTTTTGTCCTCATTACATTTGACATAGAAATCTACCATGGCCAAATTTGATCTATCAATTCAATTGCCTGTATAAACACCAGAAGTGTATCTAGATGCAGTTTAGTTTGCCTATCCAGAAAAATCAGAATTTTCTTTCCTTTTAAGCCCAAAGGCTATTAATGCAAATCCAATTGAATTTGCATTTGATTACATTTCTGATGGAAACATTCATATGCAAATGAAAATTCATGCAAAGATAGCCAGATAATTCAAATAGTTGCTGAAATATCAAGATAAAATTAGGATATTAAATGTACATCCATCCATGTTTACTAGGTTACACCAAGGTCATCAAGTGAAACAATGTTCTTAAAAAACTTAGATAAATCATGTCTTACACATTTGACTACATTCTAGTAGGTATGAAATCAGAAAGAAACTACAGCATAACTGTCCACTCTTGTAGCACTGAAAAAAGAAGCAGTCATTGGTAAAATCAGACCAGTCATTCAAAAGATGTTGCTCTTGAATGCATCGTTTTGTTCTCTTTTATATTTTCTTGTCACTGAAAGCAAAAGGTGATTTTTGGTGGATTTGAAGCTATTTTGATGATCCAAAACAATGCACAAATAGTTGGCAGTTCCTGTGTACTCCCTGAGGACTCAGTGAAGCAAGTTAAATGACATCATTACAATCACCGCCAATCAGCACCCTTTGGAAAGCATCCGTAGCATTGTGAATATAGCAGCAGAAATGAGATCTTAACTAATGTTCCCATTCTTCTATTAAATCCAGCTAAGAAAAGATTGAAGCAAAAATTCAAGGTATAAACTTTTAATCCACTATTCACATTCCAAATCTATTTTTGAGAAAAATGTGGTCTTAAAATCAGTCTGCTCTTCTTGTTAAACTTCACAGAAGTTGGAGTACCAGAAAAGAATGGTTTGAGATTCCTGCCTTGAGGATTTTTAGTATTTAGTTTCATAGTCGACAAAGTACAGTTCTCCCCATTTTAAAATAATCAATTTCATGTATTTGTCCACAGTTTCAAGTTTTCTCAGAATTCCAGTCTTTCCTGCCCTGGTGAATGTCACCAACCACCCTTCAAATTGGAAATTTTAAACGGGGGGGGGGTATCCTAGCATCTCTCCCCTTGGCAAACCTGATCCTTCCTCAAGTCTTGAAGATTGTCCTTCTCAAATACTTCTCCACACAGCCACTTCTTTTCATCTCCATCAACTAATTCTTTAACACTTATATTTTGCCTGATTTAGAGCAAAAGTATCCTTACTGGTTTCCCAGAATCTACTTTTCTCTCTCTGTCCAATCCCTATTGGGTAAATGTGCAAGACTGTTCTCAGAATTATCATTTAAAAATATTAATAGTCATCATTTCATCCAACCTCCTCCTTATTTAAAACCCTTCAGTGGCTTCCTGCTTGTCTACCAAGAAAATCTAAATCCTATGCCGGCCTATTGCTGCTGCGTGGACTGGGTCCTACTTGCCTTTCCACCTTTCCATCCTGCTGTCCCACTTTTACTCTGGCACTGCAGCGCTCCCCTTTTGCATGATGAAATGACCGTGCTTCTTCCCAGTCATCACAACATTGCGCATGCTCCATTTGCTGGCTTCTGGTGTGAATTAACTTCATGCATCTTGCATCGAAGACTTCTTGAGGTTCTGGATCCTATTTTTCTGTCACTTCTTTTTATACTAGTACCCAAGTCTTTCATAATACCTAGGGCAGGTTACTAGTAATCATGTGTTTAATTTTGAGATAATATCGTTTGTATTGATCTTGCTCACGACTTCCTGAAGGATGAAACCTGATGTTTACCTATCAGAGCAAGACATGGTACCTATCACATATGAGACATTAAGCATGAATGGGATGGTCTAATGTCTATTCTTTTCATTTGAAATCCGCAAGTTTTTAATCATGGAAGCCAGATAAATAAATAAATAGACTTGCTTGCTTGAACATCATCCTGTCACAACTTGCCAAGGAAAATTAATATGATGAATACTGTAATATTATTTGTGGCAGGGAAAGTAAGGTGAAGAATCTAGTGGAACCAAGGTTAACCACTCTCAAAAACTACGATAGTAGGATTCCACCATTTGTTGTCCTAACACAGCACTTTTTCCACCTACCTATTATATGGAATAATGTAGCAACTACTGTTCCATCTGTCATATGCATACAATTTTTAACTTAAGATATTTAAGCCACAACTAATTATAGGAGCATACCTTGGGGTTTCAAATATGAAATGTCTTATGACACAAGTTGTTAAAATTGGTTTGTAAGTATTATTCATTTCATGGGATTAGAGACATAATTACAGAAGTTAAAATCATGTCAAAATCATGCGGCAGTATGGTTACTTCTTAACAACCTCTGTTACCTTATATTTCTATCAGCTTTTCCCTTATTTTGTTTTCAGCAGCCTTAATATTCTGAGCTAAAGATTGAAATTATAGGAAAAGATAAACTGCCACATTCTGTGATTTTTTTTAACAAAGTTATACTGTTATGTCTCTAGGAATATCTGTGCTTTCACATCTGTCTAAGACCATGTCATAGCTGTCTAGGATATTTAGAGGGTGGAAAGCTAAAAGCTTATATTTAGCAACTGGATGGATGTGTAGTTAGAGTTTAGTGGACAATAAAAAAATTAAATATACTTTTCTTAAAAAGAAAAGAAAGTTTTAGATAGACCATTAAAATCACTTTGAACTTCTGTTATCTCATATTTATTGATGAGAATGTTTAGAATGTCTTGGAAAAAAAAAGATCTTAGATATTTTAATTTTGACCAAAAACATTTTAAATTTCCTTTAAATACTTTTTGTGAGTTATGTGGACTAATAAACTCAGAAGAAAAAAAAATAAAATGTGCCTATTTTCCTTAAGGCAAAGTATCTCCTTTTGCAGATATTATGAAAATAAGTATTTAATCCACAGTTGGTCATCTTCTACCTTCCTACAAATAGACCAGGGATTTGTAGTCTTATTGCAAATAAGCATTTGTTACTAACAATGATGTAGATAGTCTTGGGCTCTGAAGAAGAAGCCCCTGACAAGACATTTCTTTTCCTTTTATGATTTCAGTTAAGAATGCAAATTGCACATCGGACTTTGAGGAATACTTTGCCAAAAGAAAACTAGAAGAACGCGATGGCCACACAGTCAGCATTGAGGAGTACCTTCAGCGCAGTGACACAGCCATTATTTACCCAGAAGCCCCCGAGGAGCTGTCTCGCCTTGGCACGCCAGAGGCCAATGGGCAAGAAGAAAATGGTGAGGCCGTAATTCATTTTTAGCCACTACACTGACCTCTGCAGCTGTTACAATTACAAATGCACTACATGCCTGGGTGTTTACCTTAAAATTTGAAGAACAGCTGCTGAGGCATGGAATTTCATGAGCAAAGATTAGAACTGTAATTTTAGGGTATTGTGAATTTTTTGTCAGCAAATTTGTGTCATTTGTACATCCAATAAAGAACAAGAACAATTAGAGCCCATTTCTAAGAGATAAAAATATCTAAATGTATTCCTATCTTTCTGAAATATTTTACTTTTGAGGGAAAAGAAGTTTCAAAACACTGACCCTCACCATTTTGTTCTTTTCTACTGACACCTGAAAAACTCCTTCACATTACGTATTTCAGAGTGAAATGTGAGTAAAGGTTTCATTGCAACTATCAGTCACCTGACGAGAACTTCCTCATTTATCAGTTGTTAAAGTCCTCCCCCCAAAAGCTCAAGTAATTAATTAATTTTCAAGCACAGTATGAGCTGATTCCTACAAGTCTGTCCTGGGTGTGCAAGGGGACTGGTGTGCGAAAAGGCCTGTGCAATGATGGCACTCTGGTGGAGCAGATTGCAGTGATTCCTGTCATACCATCCCGGGCAGGCAGCCCATTAGCTGCCATTGATTTACTGACCTTTTGGCCCGCGTCTCTCCCTCTCGTCTCTCGGCTACAGACCTGCCACCTGGAACTCCAGATGCTTTTGCCCAACTGCTGACCTGCCCCTACTGCGACCGGGGCTACAAGCGCTTGACATCACTGAAGGAGCACATCAAGTACCGCCATGAGAAGAATGAGGAGAACTTTTCCTGCCCTCTTTGTAGCTACACGTTTGCCTACCGCACCCAGCTCGAGCGGCATATGGTGACGCACAAGCCAGGGACAGATCAGGTGGGGGGTTGGTTTTAAGTGATTTCTTTCTATAATAACCCCTTAGAGAAACGATATTGCTTTGATTGGCAATCATTATTAATTTTTCATGGCATTTTGAAGATGCAGATCTTTTAATGGTAATAGCTTTAATTGAGGTCTAAATGATTTTTTGATGGTCTCTTCTAATATGATTTAATAGTCTTATGTTCACGATCGAATGAGTGTGTTAATTTCTAATTTAGAAATTTTATTTGCACTTTAACTCGACTTTAGTTTCATTTTTATGTTTCACAAAAAGTGAATGAAATTGTAGCATTTTAATTATACATTATTAAACATCTCAGCTATTTTAATTCCATTTTTCACCTAGTTTTACATAGATTTTTTTAACATAGGATCTAAGTCATAGCTTTAAAAAAGTGCGTATTTCTTTCATTTGTCACGTAACACTTTGGACTACTTTATTTGTACAAGCTGATATGAGTTTATGAAATTTAATTATTGAAATTAAAAGTATATAATAAATTATGTATGTATAAATAAATTAAATTAATACTAAAACATTGAATGTGCTTTTTAAACAGTCCTGTCTTGATGTGGCTATTTGTAGCTAAATGTTAAAATTGCTATGCTTGTTTTGGCTTACTTGTCTTAAAAATAAGAACTCTGTCTTGAGTAGGTAAGTATACATAGCTTCTTAAATCCTTAAAAAGTTTGAGTAGGATTGATTCACAGCATCCTTTAAATGTTTCAGCAAAACTGCTCTTTCTAACCTCCTAGGAGAATCAACTCCGCAAATTGATATTATGATGTGTTCGGATGGTAACAGAAATGGTGTACCATAAGTCACGATAACTGGCCCTACAGATCTGGAATTGCTTTATACAAGCCTTGATCCCATATCTGTTTTAAAAATGATTAACCATGATATTCTATATAGAATTCTTTTTTTTTGTCCTTATAGGCTTTATTTTCCTTGAATAAGGAAAACAAGCATAAGCCAACACAAACAATAATGATACTGTATTATGGAATTTTACTATTTTAAGACAATAGCTCTTATAAATCATTTCATTTCTTTCTGATTGAGCTTGTCCCTTGAATGTTTTTCAAAGATCAGTTATTTTAAAAGTATGCTTGCATAGTTACACTTATGTAACAGTTTATCTCCCCCATGCTTCTATGTAAAAAAAAAAAAAAAATCTAGGAAGAAAAGAATGGGCCTAGATATTTATCTAGCATAACTGCTTTAAATTTCACAAGCAGAAGTGTGATTGTGTTGGCGCATTATGAATGGTAGCTTTGGTGTTGAAAAGTCCCCTCATTTGCTCATGGCATTTACAATTAGTAAATTAAAATGATTGTATCATATTAACAGTGGCACAACTAAAGTTTATAGTGGTCCTCTGAGGGCTGTGGGGGAGACAAAGCAGCTGTTGCTGTTTGTTTATGCAACTCAGCAACATATGAGCGCTGGTCCCTCAATGGCGCTCGGCGGGCTGGGCTCCGCTTGATCTTTGAAGGTTGCTGCTGTTTGAACAAACCTCCCTGTGTCCCATGTAACACCATCTGTCTCACTAGGAATGTGGGAAGATTCAGCACACCCTAGCAGTTGTCATACCGTTTCTGTGCTGTCTTTTTGCAAAAGGCTTTTGTGTCATTGCTGCCTGAAAAAGGCTGACCTCCTACCTTGAGCATCCAGAGTGGATGACTTTTTTTTTTCCAGAATTCTAAGTCACACTGCTTTTTTCACTTGTTCAAAAAGGTCAGCTGTGTTTGATTATATCTTTGCTGCTTTTAACTTGTCTTTTCAGCAAACTTTTTTTTCTCTTGGTCCCTACTACCTTGTACACTACTAAAAAGGAAAATGAAAAGTCGTTGAAGTCTTTCCTACTGGCCTGTGATAAAACTGCTCAAGCAGCTATAGCCCAAGATGTTGTCTCTTACATTTGATAATGAATCAAATCTGATAGGCAAAACCTCAGGAAAACAGAGTTTACATGTGCCACTAGCACAATGAATGGAATATTTAAACAAGCTAACCCTGTAACAAAATATTTGCAGTCAAGCTTTGTTTCTGAGTTTTTTTATGGAAGGGGGTGATTTTTTTTTAACAGATTGTTTCAGTATACGATACACTTTTATTCTGATACAGAAAAATTGATAAAATTTGTTTTATATATATATATATATTTTTTTAACACTATTTAGAATTTTCAGGAAGCTGTTTTTTCCTGGATAAAACAGTTGCATTTTAGCAGGGAATCTTCAGATTTTAGATCTTGCAGAAAACAAAGAAACACAAACATCTTTACAATTATACTTTCTCAGCTCCAAAGGGTCAAAGAAACATTTGGAAAAGAGACTGCAGAAATAATTGTAAAGCAAGTGTTGGATGCGTATGGGAAAGCACTTTTTTTTATTTCTTCCAATTTTATTGCTAACATTATCACTTTTATTGCAATTCTGAAAGACTAGGCAGATAAATAAGCATGCACTCAAACCTTTTGGCCTGTCTGGAAAAAAAAAAAAAAAAAGAGGCCTTTAAAAAATATTCGTAAAAATTTTCTTTGTTCCTCCTGCGCAAAACTGATGTCAATCTTTCTTTTATAGCACCAAATGCTAACCCAAGGAGCAGGTAATCGCAAGTTCAAATGCACGGAGTGTGGCAAGGCCTTCAAGTACAAACACCATCTGAAAGAGCACCTGAGAATTCACAGTGGTGAGTAGCACAGGGGCTGGTGCTCACATCTGCATTTTGTTTACTTAAAAGAGCTCTTAAAGATTGTTTAAAATTTACACAATCCTGTTTGTAGCTTTTTGGAACCACGCATTTATTTCATATGCTCTATGTGCCTTTCATGAGACTTACGGTGCTATAGCACTGCAGGACAGTAGCACTGTTTTATAAAAAGGAGTGCTTATCCTTTATAAAAACTGTAAAGCCTTTGATTTATTACCAGATCTAGAAATTGCTCTCAGTCCTTCTAGAACCCTTTCTCCAGATTAAATATTTTTGACATGAAGAAACTCAGATGGCAAATTTTGAAGGATATTCATTTTGATACCTAATCATAAAAAAAAAAGAATTTTGGATAAGAGCTTGATATAATAAATGTTTCTTGCTTCCTGAGAGCTGTGTATCACAGACCAGTATCCTACCACTGAGATTTCTTCTTTATAACCAGTGTGATAGCTCTGCCAAGCATTTTATTACCAAATTGGATGCTATTCAGAGAACTAGTTGGTTTGGTAGAATCAATGGAATCTCCACAGAGTTGATTAAAACCATGGCTACACTTCCCTTTAAATACTGTGACATCTTTATTGTGCTATTGACCACACATTAATCTGACACTCTGTTTAAATAGGAGGCTGCCGATGGCAAAACAAGATTTGGGATCTTAGCTGAAAAAAACATAGATAGTCTTCACCCACCACTGCTAACATCTTGAATTATGTCCTCCCAGGGTAGATAAAGCTCACTAACAGCTACAGCCGCATAATTCTAATCTAAGCACCTAGAGTGTAGAGGTAACCCAATTGTGTTCCTTTCATTTGCTTTCATAGATCCTTGTCTGGTAGACATCTTCAATTGTTACCCAATCAAAGAAATGTAATGTTAATTTTTATGATCTTTTTAGGTGAAAAACCTTATGAGTGCCCAAACTGCAAGAAACGCTTCTCCCATTCTGGTTCCTACAGTTCGCACATCAGCAGCAAGAAATGTATTGGTTTAATCTCAGTAAATGGCCGAATGAGAAACAATATCAAGACGGGTTCCTCCCCTAATTCTGTTTCTTCTTCTCCTACTAATTCAGCCATTACTCAGTTAAGAAACAAGTTGGAGAATGGAAAACCACTTAGTATGTCTGAACAAACAGGCTTACTTAAAATTAAAACAGAACCACTAGACTTCAATGACTACAAAGTTCTTATGGCCACACATGGATTTAGTGGCACTAGTCCCTTTATGAATGGTGGGCTTGGAGCCACCAGTCCCTTAGGAGTTCATCCATCTGCTCAGAGTCCAATGCAGCACTTAGGTGTAGGGATGGAAGCCCCTTTACTTGGATTTCCCACAATGAATAGTAATTTAAGTGAGGTACAAAAGGTTCTACAGATTGTGGACAATACGGTTTCCAGGCAAAAAATGGACTGCAAAGCTGAAGAAATTTCAAAGTTGAAAGGTTATCACATGAAAGATCCATGTTCTCAACCTGAGGAACAAGGAGTTACTTCTCCTAATATTCCACCAGTCGGTCTTCCAGTCGTGAGTCATAACGGTGCCACTAAAAGTATTATTGACTATACATTAGAAAAAGTCAATGAAGCCAAAGCTTGCCTCCAGAGCTTAACTACTGACTCAAGGAGACAGATCAGTAATATAAAGAAAGAGAAGCTACGTACTTTGATGGATTTGGTCACGGATGATAAAATGATTGAGAACCACAACATATCCACACCATTTTCATGCCAGTTCTGTAAAGAAAGCTTTCCTGGCCCCATTCCCTTGCATCAGCATGAACGTTACCTTTGTAAGATGAATGAAGAGATCAAGGCAGTTCTGCAACCTCATGAAAACATAGTCCCCAACAAAGCTGGAGTTTTTGTGGATAATAAAGCCCTCCTCTTGTCATCTGTACTTTCTGAGAAAGGACTGACAAGCCCCATCAACCCATACAAGGACCACATGTCTGTACTCAAAGCATACTATGCTATGAACATGGAGCCCAATTCTGATGAACTGCTGAAAATTTCCATTGCTGTGGGCCTTCCTCAGGAATTTGTGAAGGAATGGTTTGAGCAACGAAAAGTCTACCAGTATTCAAATTCCAGGTCACCATCACTGGAAAGGAACCCCAAGCCGTTAGCTCCCAATAGTAATCCTCCCACAAAAGACTCTTTATTACCTAGGTCTCCTGTAAAACCTATGGACTCCATAACATCACCATCTATAGCAGAACTCCACAACAGTGTTACAAATTGTGATCCTCCTCTCAGGCTAACAAAATCTTCCCATTTTACCAATATTAAACAGGTTGAAAAATTGGACCACTCAAGGAGTAACACTCCTTCTCCCTTAAATCTTTCCTCCACATCTTCTAAAAACTCCCACAGTAGTTCATACACTCCAAACAGCTTCTCCTCGGAGGAGCTCCAGGCTGAGCCTTTGGACTTGTCATTACCAAAACAAATGAAAGAACCCAAAAGTATTATAGCCACAAAGAGCAAAACAAAAGCTAGTAGCATAAACTTAGACCATAACAGTGTTTCTTCGTCATCTGAAAACTCAGACGAGCCTCTGAACTTGACTTTTATCAAGAAAGAGTTTTCAAATTCAAATAATCTGGACAACAAAAGCACTAACCCAGTGTTCGGCATGAACCCATTTAGTGCCAAACCGTTGTACACAGCTCTTCCACCACAAAGCGCATTTCCCCCTGCCACTTTCATGCCACCAGTCCAGACCAGTATCCCGGGGCTACGACCATACCCAGGACTGGACCAGATGAGCTTCCTACCACATATGGCCTATACCTACCCAACTGGAGCAGCTACCTTTGCTGATATGCAGCAAAGGAGAAAGTACCAGCGGAAACAAGGATTTCAGGTAACAAGACATGTCTGTTTGCTCTAAAGAGAGGAGATAGAAACTACATACTTGGGCTGGGGATTTAGCTCAGAGGTGAAACACTAGTGTGAGGTCGTGAGTTCCATACTCCTGTATCAGATACACACACACACACACACACACACACACACAGACACGCACACACACACACAGATCATGTTCCTGTAACAATAAACTCAGTGATAAATATCAGTAGAAATACAAGAGGTTTTCTAATGTGAACCACAGATCTGTAAGTGGGCTAGGAAAATGAATACATGAAAACACTGAAACACTGTATCTTGTAAAAATATTTGTTTTAAAAAAACATGAAGAAATGAATACTTGCCACCTTTTAGAATTGTACATTGGTAGCAATAGTTGATAGGACTTCACTAGGTGTGAAAAGTTAAAATGTGCAACAGACACATGCTTTAAAGAAGTTCACAACCTGCAAGTAATATATAAATCAATTTGAAGAACTTATTTTATAGTGAATAGTTTATTTGAAGAGTATTTTTTAAAATACGTTGAATGTTCCACATGAATTATTACCTAATCTTCAAATTTGTGAATAATTTATGGTTTTTTGAATACAAAAGCAGGTATATTTTTGCATTATGCAGGATAATTTTTTCTTGCAAAATAGGAGCATAGAGGCAATGCACCTCTGTAACAGCTGTTGCAGTATTCCAATTTACAGTACATCTGCCCTCTTTGTAAATGTATTTAAGCCTATTTAATCTTCTCCAATATTAATTAGTGCAAACCTAGTCTAAGAAAACTGAACTGTGGGCTAGCAAATGGTACGGTATGTTATCATGCAAGTTTGCACTCCTTTGGATCAAGACAAAATAAATATCAAGAAATTTAATAATTTACTGATCCACATTCATTATTGTTCAATGCTGAAGGCTGTTTTAACATAGATAGAACATTGATAAAAAGTGTTATTAATATTCCCTATTTCAAATTAGAAAATTAAATATAAAAATATAGCTTGAGGCTTTTAGTTGGTAGACATACATTTAAATAGACTGAATAATAATAACATTTTGTACCTAAATATAAAATTCAATTAAAATGGGGTTTCTGCAGCTACAGATCATTCCTAAAGTAAACTATACTGGAAAATACGCAAATTCTGATGTTCAATGTTTGCTCACAGATATTTCCTGAAAAAAGGAAAGATTTTAGAAAGATCTGTGTTATTTCCAACCTTTGGAGTTGACTATTCTCTGTCCTCGAAAAACAGCAAGCTCTACCACCTATAGTAGAGAAGGTTATATTTTCTTGATTTAAATGTGAGACCTCATGTTTTTCCAGGGAAAAGTTTTAGAAATTTTTTAAACTAGATCAATCTACAGCAAGCAGTTTCAAGGTTCTCTAAATGTCGGCTTATGCAAAGTTGTTTGGTATAAACACAAAGACAAGAGACTAAATTGAACTATGTGATTATGTCACAGGGAGAATTGCTTGATGGAGCACAAGACTACATGTCAGGCCTAGATGACATGACAGACTCTGATTCCTGTCTGTCTCGAAAGAAGATCAAGAAGACAGAAAGTGGCATGTATGCATGTGACTTATGTGACAAGACATTCCAGAAAAGCAGTTCCCTTCTGCGACATAAATACGAACACACAGGTATGAGTGACTTTAACTAGCTAGTTAGAGCTTCTCAGCCTGCTCTACATTTCATAATATTTAATGAGTACACTTGTGCAACATAAGATGTAACATATGCTGATACCTTCAACAAGGAAGAAATAATGCTTTTGCCTAGCTCAGTAGGACTTTTTGTCGCCTGTTTATTGGATCGTTTATGTGTTTATGAGTGTGCTTATCTTCATATCTTTCCAGTTAATCTGTAAGACAAATTCACAAATCAAATCAAGGGAATATTGAAATGGCCAGGACAATGAAGTGGCATGATATAAATTAGTTATTGAAAATATCTTCAAATTCTTAAGCCGCAATGAGCCCATATATGTACAAATATAATAATAAATCTGATCAATTATGTACTAGTCTCATCATCCAAGCACCGAGTAAGCCATGATTTGGGAGTTATTTTGTTTGGTTCTTATAAATGGCCACATTTTGAGTCAACTAAAAGTGTTAGTATATCATAAGAGAAAATTAATAGACCAAATGAGCTACTGAGTCTACCCATATTTGGAAGAGTAAAAGAAAACTTTCTAACTTTAATTAGTTCATCATCAATTCATACATTACAAATCAGGAATAATTACAAAGAGTTGCTAAGTCAGTAGCCTAATTCTTCCCTATGAATAAAGAAATGGTGAGTTAATTTTTTAAAAAGAGGAAGTACTATGACATAAAGCAATTATATTTTCCTCTAGCTCAGATTTGATGGCAGCTCTGTGGTGGAGCTCCACCTGTGTTCTCTTCCTCACGCTTCCTCTTTACATCCTGAACAACATATCTCAGCTTCCTGCCTTTCCCTAAGCCATCTCCAAATCTTCTCCACTAAAAATTTGGCGTGCTTGGCTGGCCCTGGATGAGAAAAGAGTGTAGGATCTCAACCAAAATATTGGCAAGAGGAAACAAAAAAAAAGAGAGAAAGTGTAAGGAAATATCTCACATTAAACTAGGAAGTCTAGCATCAAACATTTTCATAAGATGGAAAACAAAATAACCTAACATTAATACTTTCTGGAGAGAAGTGATAATGAAGCAAAAAAAGGCGGGGGGAGAATGGAAATACTTCCTGTTATGCTTTGACTGCCCATGTACACAGTACCCTTTTTAGAGACCTAAAACCATCCTTGAGCAGTACTTTTACCCATCACCATCTTTTCTTCCTCACTGGGCATGTTACGGAAGCAGCCAAAGTAACCAGAATCAAGTTGAGTTGGGGAAATGTGCGAGATTTCTGTCAATTGACTGATGAGGAACAATTAAATGGTGGGTGAGTTTGGTCAGTTAAATGGTGATAAAGTGCAAAGCTGACAAATCACAATGTTCTTACTCCAACCAATCCAGTTTCCTTTCTCACCAACCATTTGATGTTCCTTATAATTAATTTACAAGTTCAACTAATATATTTTAAAAACAATCCATGTTGAATAACAAATCCAGATATTTTTATACTTCGGTGAAATTTTGAAACATCAAATTTTTCTTACATTTTTCTTTTATTGTAGGTATTTTCATTAGTCCTAAAATCTATTTTAGCATTTCTCAGAGTAGATTTTTCATATCTACATTTGTTTTGATATTTTAAGCAACTTCAAATATATTTTGTATTTCCCTATTCACTTATAATAGGCACTTTTCCCTTTTGGTTGGTTTTAATCATATGACTCTATACAAATTCTATCATATACTACATATTGAGTATAAGACTTTTAATTTAGTGATGGCTATCATACATATTAACATCCAGTCAACGTATTTATTTCAGTAGTCCATAACTTCATAGATATATAGTTGAGAGACCAAAATATTGACAAACACAAATATATATATAATTAATTTGAAAAATAAAAATAAAATATTCTGATGCTTACAATGTGAGATTTTCTATGTAGAAACATTGCACAGCAACAGGATGATAGCCATCCAATGGCTTCTGTAAACTTGTGATTAATTATCCCCTTATTGGTTTCCTAGCTTATCAAGTTCAGTGTTTTAACTTGTTGGTCTCTTGACCAAATACCTCATATTACTATTGTGAATGTGAAGATCTCCATGAATTTCTATCATTATGATGTATGTGGAAATTTAGTCCATTTTCTCATCCTTATTGGGTCCCATGAGCCTTTAATTTGTTTATATTAATCTTTTAAGCAATCTTTCTAAAATGAATTAATATGAATAATATAAGTGAGAACTGCCTTGGTGTTGAATGATTCTATGGTTGGGAAATGAAGTTGAATTGTCATTTGATTATTATGTATTGATTATGATTGTATTGTTGATAAAATATTTATTATATGTGTCTATGAGAGTCTTTTTCTTGAAATCTTGTGCTTTTTTGCCACAACCTATTTTAATTTATTTCCTAGGCAGATACCAAAGTTATAATGCTTAATTTTTCTTACTAATGGCTTATTGCTTGCTTTTTTTTTTACTTGGGACCAAGGAGTGGGACAGAGGAAGGAAACACTATGTAAATGCTGACTTCAGTAGGATTGGTTGTCACAAGAACTGTGAAATAAAAAATCTGAAACTGCTATTAGGCATTTGTATTTCACTAAAACTTAAATCTGACATTTATTGAATGTTTTCTCTGTTGAGAGATTGTGGTAGGTGCTTTTAAACCCACCTTATTGAGAAAAGTAATAAAAATATTTCTACTTTTGAGTAGATAAAGTCATGTTTTCAATAATTTTATTTCTCAGCTATCGATTTTTTATACCACAAACCATACCACAAAGTCTTCCAATCAAACCTTATTAATGTTGATTATCATTCTAGCTTTCAGACGAACCATGAAGCTAGATACTACAGGAAAAATTCTACCCTAAATTTTTTTGATTCACTCAATATCAATTTGAATGTTTTTCTGAATCTTACTCATGTGGAAATTTAATTCTACAACATCCTGATTTGAATCAGGTAAACAAATCAAGCAAGTTAAAAAGAGATGAATGTCCAAGTCACTTCCTATTTAAATTGATTTTGTTAAGTACCTACTAGAGAGACTTCTAGAAATTAGTAGAAATGTATGTATATACATATACATATATTCTCATCAGTTCCCAAATTTATAACTGAGTACTTTATTCTTTCAGTTTGCTAATTCATAATACAGAATTAATATATTTCTATTATAAAATGTTCTGTTGAATGAATTTTCTGAAAATGAATTGTCAGAAAGTGAAGAACAGAATAGTGATGTGACAACAGCAGTTTAGTGGGCATCTCTCAGGCATTCCCAATAGGCTTCAAAGCCTGTACTGCTGAATGTGTGCTTTCTCTTAAGATTCTGTTCTGTGTTTTGTGGCTTTGGAACAATTGTAATGGTCATTCAAACTTATTCACACATTCTCTCCCCGTAGTTACCTAAATAAGTGATCTTTTTGTGCCTAGAGCTGATGAAACATTAGTATCCAAAAGAAGTTGCAAGACAGTTTCGCCCATGCGCTCTGTCGTAATTACAGCACCAAGAAATTTTTCATATGCAATTTCTTTTCTCTCCATTCAGATTTGTTTCTTCCATGTACGCTGCTCCTGATGCATGCATCTTGCTTAAACTTGGGGAATTATTGAACATGTGTTAATGAATAAGAATAAAATGATCTAACATTAATTGAGTGCTTACTATGAAATCCTTGTACTAAAAATTTTACATTCATTGTCTTCTTTACTCCTTCTGGCCACTCCACAAGTTAGGACCCCAAGTGATTGTCCTTTGCCTGCAAGGACCCCCCTGGTCCTCAGAGAGGTTGACATATGTGAGATTGCAACACAACCAGTTGTAAAAGACGGATTTGAATCCAGGCGATCTGATTCCAAAACCCGTCTTTCCTACTGAAAACTGCACCATTCTATCCTTATGGATTAATTGCTACTGCTACGTCTTACCCTTTCTCCTATTAGCGCCATTTCCCTAAAAGTACAGGTAATCACAAGAGAGACCAAATTCATAACATAGCAACTTGAAGTTCCCTGGAAGGAAAACAAGACAACAAAACAAAAACCTCATGTCTTTTTCCCAAATACACTTCTGCTTTCTGAGACATTACCTTCGCACCATGGTAGTCTTGTCAATTGGAAAAGCGCACTCTCTCCAGACCCCTGGCACTCCACTATAACTTTCTATAATCCAGTTTACCATATTCAAAGCATCTTTTCC